TCTACTCTAAACCTATACAGTCAAAAATCTGATATAATTGCCCAGCTTTGACGAAGGACAAGTATCTGCCACTACCAGTATATGTGAACCTCGCACGTTGGATAACGTAATAACACCTCTAATTGTTGCCCATTATCGCCTACAAATTAACACCATGCCCACTTGCCTAATCTCTGTAATCAAGGTCATATATTCCAGCAAAATCCCACTTGAGATGGTGATTTGCCAATAACAGCCAGTGGCAAGATCAACGGCTGTGATTAGCAAAGTCAGATTATTCTTGCTTAGCTGGGGATTTTCATTTTTGGTGCGTATTGATATTGTAAGTCACGTGCATGCATGGTATATCTATAGCATTAGCATCATCCTCAGTGCACCTAGGGATCCAAGATCAGATGAAGGTCCTCCTATGTGCGTACGTTAGCAGAACATTTGTCTGTTTATCTAACATGAACCCACCGAGCAGCACAGTAGACAATACCGTTGAGTGCCTTTCCAATGGAGGTGCACATTTCCCCACGAGAAGTGAAAGAAAGTGGGGTAACATTTCTCTTTTTCTTACCAGAATTTCTAGTAGAATTAATTTCTTAATTAGATGCTCTAAGAAACTGGTCCAGATGGTAAGAAAGAAAATACTCATTCAATTAAGGACTCGTATTCGATGGTGCCACCTTTTTAGCCTTTTATAGGAGAGTTGCATATTTACTTTCCGTTGCTTCAGTTCATCCAAATAATTAGTATATCCTTAAATGGATTCGTCTTCAAATACACGTGGATACGTAACACCTAATGTTATATATACATATTGTGTCAACTGCCAAAAAAGTAGTACTTCTTAGTTTAGATACGCGTGATGTAGGGTCCACAAATCAAGCTACAAGGACGGCAGTGGAAAGGGGATGACTCCGTTCTCGACGGACGGAGGTGAGGGAGTCCACCGAAAAGTAACGTAGCTCGAGTCCTTTTAATCCCCTTTAACGGGATTGACCCCTTGATTAACGGCGTTAACTTCGCAGTAGAGAACTAATCTTTCATTCAGGCCCTTCAAATGCGGATTTGTGGTACGAAGAAAAATTAAGGAAAAGCTATTTATGTGGGTCCTAGATTCCAACGGCTATGACAGTGTGCATGAGCGTGTGTATGCCATGTCAGTTGAGGAATTAAAAAACACCTACTACCATAACCATAGAATTAACTAGTCCTAAAAAAAATGGAATTCAGAAATTAAAATCATATCAGGAAAATGCTGACAACAAAATTGGTTTTCTAGTTTTCTTCTTTCCCTTTCTATGAACTTATTTGATGGGTTCCCTGGATACGGATATTCTACAGACATCGTGAATGCATTTGCGTATAAGAACAAGGATTGACTTGAATTAAGACAATAGTCCAAAGCTTGACACATGCGTGTGAATCCTGTTGTATCTACCGGCCAGCATGTCAAGTGAACAAGTAATTATGGTCGTTTTTGTTTTTTACTTGTCAATGGAACGTTATTTTATACGTTGGTTATGACTTTGTTACTTCGACCAGATAAGATTGCGTTTACCTGCGTTACACTCTTTTTCTTTTTAATATAAAAGTATTCCATTATATTCAATAGATTATATGTTTGATTGTCGCGTGTTAACGTGATGCTGTAAAAAAATATTAAATTATTAATAGTAAATTTATTTATTATAACAATCAATATTAAATAAGTTAATTTAAAAATTGATCTTTACCGTTTCGTTCATCTGAAATCAAATTGTAATTAATAGGAGTAAGCTGCTTCATTCATGTATTAGGTAGGATTATTTTATCATTTTTTTGACAGTGCGCGTACTCTTTCCCAAAAGAAAAAAACGAAACGAATATTTGTGAACCAAAAAAAAGAGGAAAAAAAAGTAGGAGTAGCAGTAAGAAGACGAAAGTGTTTTTAAGGGCATAATTAATTTCTTTATACATAAGAAATTATCATTACTTATTCCCACCCACTCACATAAAAATAAGTAATCATTATGATAGAATATGCTGAGGAACAGTTTACAGGAATTATCTAATTATTTTCAATATCATAACAGATACAATTAGGTAGAAATTTCCTTGTATGACAAAATTATTGTCTTTTTTATTACGGGCTACTAAATATTTTATCATGACATTCGTCTTAATGAATTAATTAAAACCAAGGATATTGGGGTGATTTAAAGTGGTTTAATGGTGTAATTTATTTTCAAACTATTAAAACTATGATAAAATAAAGTTTATATTATCAATTTAGGTTATTTAAACACTAAATTATTAATTTTTGAATATTTTTTTTTCATCATGTCTAACAATCAAAGTGTTAGCCATCTATTAAAATACTTAAAACAATATTGATTTAAATATTTCAGTTTTTATTTTAAAATTACAATTAATTTTTTAAAAAAATTTTAAAAAATTAATTTTTTTATTAGATGCATCCATTACGTATTATTAATTATTTAAAAATAAAAAATAGATCAATAAATAATAAAATCATCTAAGTTTCTATAAAATTAATTAAGATTAAATATTTTTTTCAAAATTAATTTTAATTTTTTAATAATTCATTTTTCTAACTAGATGGATCTTTATGCATCATTAATTATCCAAAAAAAAAAAAAAAGATCCATAGACCGTAAAATCATCTAACAATTTTTTAAAACTAGCTGGCTGTTAATAAATATTTTTTTGAAAAAACTAAAATACTTAAAAAGATAATGATAAGACTCTGACCATCAAACATAATAAAAAAAAATTAAAACTAGTACTTTATGATACAAATAATTCAAATTAATAGATCTTATTTTACTATTATCTTAATATTTTTGTTGTAAATTATGTCATTAAACTGATTTACAACCCCTTGGAAAGAAATTAATAGTCCGGAGGAGTATTAGTTTGTGTTTGCGCCGCGGCGGGGGGTGGGGGTTGTTGGGTTGGGTTGGGTTGGGGTGTGTGTGTGTGTGTGTGTGGGGGGTGGGGGGATTTGAAGGCAGTGAAACAGTAGAGGGGGCCACCGTATGGCGTATAGCCTTCCCGTGAAAAATACAAAAAGGCTGGAGCGTTGATTGTGGGACGCGTATATTCAACAAATTTATGATTTTTCCACGTGTCATATCCGTGTCAGCTTACCTAGGCGCCGAAATGTAGACGCTGGCCCACGCGATTCCCGTTGAATTGATGGCAGCGAACTTTTTCTTCCATTAATTGCCATACAGTGACTTTACTTTATTTACCAGAATGCCACTGAACGGGACAATAATGGGGGCAAAGCAGTAGAATTTGTTGGATTGGCGAGGGTATTTTGGGAGTCAAACAAACTTAATAAACCTTAAAAAATGGGGCGGCGCGTGACGAAGAACACAACAAAAAAAGCTGCCCCGTTTAGGTTTTTTTGATTTATAGTTTCTTAAATGGATTGGCTATTTATTAATTGAAAGAATAAAGAAATTATTAAAGGGGAACCTCTTTTTGGCCCCAAAAGCCTTGATAATCATTATTTTTGCTTCAATGATGTATCCTTTTTCACATATTGTGCTTGACATCTTTACTGTTGGTCCTATGCTTCTTTAAATTATTGATTTACTTCCGTTTTTTCTATTATCATAGTTTGGACACTTTACCCCTCTCTGAAGACTCTATAAAGTTTGATTTTCAAGCTTTTCAGAATTTTTCAAGCACAATTTTATTTGAAAGCCTTGCAGAAGGGATAAAGTGTCCCAAATCATTATAGATGCAATAATTAAGCTAGGACTTCTTTCAACTCCTGTGGATCTTTTGGCTTACCTGCTAATGATATAATCAAGAAAATGGAATGGTTATATGAACTTCAATTTTTTTTTTTTTTGGTGCTCTTCCAATATACCATCAAAGTGATTTTAATCAATATTTCAGCGTAATGAGTTTTTTGTGTCTCTGATTAATAGAGATTGAATTGTTTCTTAAAACAATATGTTAATCTCTTAAATCAACATGAAAAATATCCAAAAGAAGGTAGGATTAAGATTGTGGGTCACAAATTGATATCAAAGGACCACATTTTTTAGGAAGAAAATGTTTCAACTTGAGCTAAAATCACAGAACATACCAAAAAAAAAAAAAAAAAAAAACAAACAAACAAACCTAATAGTCAAAGTAAATTATATTATTTTCATTCTCCTCCAGGGTTTTTAATTTTTTTCCTTTCAAAAGTTTGACAAGTACAGTATGCATAGATTGCGGAGGAACGGTCCTTGCTCCTCATAATTTTTTTTTTTTCAAAAAACGGCATCCTACTCAACTAAACAAACCCAAATTTGTAGTGCATAATTTAAATAGGTGTCAATAATAATAATAATAATTGTAATACAACTAAATTATAAATAACAAAATGAATGGGGTGAGTATTAGTAGCTAAAAGAGGAAAAATTTTAAAATATTAAAGAAGTAATTATTAATAAAACTGTCAATACTGTAAATGCATCTACTTAAAAAAAAAGGTTAAAAAAATTACAATCCATAAAAAATGATAAAAATATTTATATTTAATTCGTTTTTTTTGTTAATTTTCTTTCCTTTGTTTTTCTATTATCTGTTTCTCTATTTTTTTAATAAAATAAGTATTTATAATTAATTTTTGAGTATTTAAAATTTATGGTTATAGGAGGGTACATAATACATTAAAAAAACCTGTCTACATAAGAACAGCTCAACCCCCGGTAAAACGACCTGCTTGTTCTCTTTCTGCCCTCATTAGCCTTTTGGGAGCTCTCGCTCTCTCTCTCTCTCTCCCCATAGCTCTCAGGTATAGAGAGATTTTCATATTCCTCCACACACCATTCTCTCCTCCTTGAACACTCTTTTCTCTCTCTTATATATATACATATTCAGACATTAACACACACAGCTAAGAGACTCCGTTCTTTCATTTCAGTCAAGAAAAGAACTTTCATTCTCTCTGTTTTTTTTTTTTTTTTTTTTTGGAAAAAAACACACCATTAACACTGAAAAAAATGGTGTGCTCCTATCTTGGTTCTTCTTATTTTCTCTTAGTTTGCTCTCTACTTGCTCTCCTTGTTTCCGGGTCTCAAATTCAAAGAACTTTATTGCCTATCATATCCTTTGATGAAGGATACAACCAACTTTTTGGGGATGATAATCTGGTCATTCATAGAGATGGAAAAACAGTGCATTTATCTTTAGATGAGAGGACAGGTTCTTATATTTTCACAATTTTCTATTTTGGGTTTATGATTTTGCCTTTTCTTTTGTTATATATATATATTGTTCGCTTTGATTGAGAGTTTCACTGGGGTTGTGTATATGCAGGGTCTGGATTTGTTTCTCAGGACTTATACTTACATGGATACTTCAGTGCTTCCATCAAGTTGCCTGCAGATTATACTGCTGGAGTCGTGGTTGCTTTTTATGTGAGTAACAGTACTGATTAACTATTGATGCGTTTTAAATAAATAAATGGAGGTTTAATATTTTGATTCAATTCGTCATTTATCAGACCCAGATTGATGCTCCATGGGAGTATTTCTTTCAAGTTTTATACTTTAGTTGTATTAATGAAACACAAATTGACGTTTCTTTGATTTACAGTTTTTGTTTTCATGCTAACTGTTTTCTCTGTCATGCCAAGCTTGAAAGTCTGATCAAACTATAACAGCATCATTCTCAGGGGTTTGTTAGTAGGCTACTGATTTTAAGGTTCATGCCTACGCTTTTTAAGAAAGCTGAAAATTTCCAAAGTACCCTCATGCTTGCCAATTTTTCCCCCAGAAAATGTTATCATTTCTTTATAATCTAGAAAGGAAAATAAGATAATCTAATTATCATGTTATTTTTCGTTGGAAAATTTCAAAATTTTGACCAAAGAATCAATCGTTAATCAGTTCAAGAAAAATCAGGAAAAAACCCATCTTAGATCATGTTTGTTACTTCTTTTTTCTGACAGATGTCAAATGGTGACATATTCGAGAAGAACCATGATGAAATTGACTTCGAGTTCTTGGGTAATATAAGAGGCAAAGATTGGAGGATACAGACAAACATTTATGGCAATGGCAGCACCAGCGTAGGCAGAGAAGAGAGATACAGCCTCTGGTTTGATCCCTCTGATGATTTCCATCAGTACAGCATTCACTGGACCGATTCTCGGATCATGTAAGGAAAAAACCAACTTCTTCATCTTCTTTTATGGTTTTGTTTCTGGTGTATTATTTTCTTGTTGATGTTGTTATTTGTTGCAATTATAGCTTTTTGACGGCTGTACTTTACCCCATTTAATAATTGATAACCTCACGGTCTATATGGTATAGAATTACCGATTTAGGGGGCTTGATGTTGATTTATCTGCTGAATGGGTAGAGGTAAGGTTTCTTCTTTTAGGTGATTAGCGGAGAAAGTTCTCTGTTCTTTTACCTACAGTGGCATGCCCCTGTTTTAACAAAACCAGTTTTCTATGTTTGGCATGGCCAAAGTTTAGTAAACATCTTGTTTGGTTACTGAGAACAGTTAGATTAATAATCTATACAAACATTGATGTGATGGAGCGTATGCAACCCTGTAGTTTACTCGAGATAGCTAATTAATTTTCAGGGAAGATGAAAATAACATCCAATCTTGTCAGATAAATTCACAATTTTATATTTTTTGTTTACTCAATTTTCTCATTTACCTATAAGAAGGTATTGTTTTTTATTTTACATATGAACAAAGTAGTAACTGGTGTTTAGACTTAGGTGGATTAATCCTTGTGGGCGTTTTAACAGTCATTCTAATCCTGTATCTGTTTCTTTTGTGTTCATTAACAATCATTCTAATTCTGTCCCTGTTCCTCTTGTGTTCATTAACAATCATTCTAATTCTGTCTCTGTTTCTCTTGTGTTTAGATTTTATGTGGATAACATTCCTATTCGAGAGGTTAAAAGAACAGAATCTATGGGAGGGGATTTCCCTTCCAAGCCAATGTCTTTGTATGCAACAATATGGGATGGGTCTGACTGGGCTACCAATGGAGGCAAATATAGAGTGAATTACAAATATAGCCCTTACGTCACTGAATTTTCTGACTTTGTTCTGCACGGCTGTGCTGTCGATCCAATTGAGCAGTTCCCAAAATGCGATAATACTGAGTCTCCTCAGGCAATCCCCACCAGTGTCACGCCTGCGCAAAGAATTAAGATGGAGAGTTTGAGGGCCAAGTATATGACATATTCCTATTGCTATGATCGGGTTCGGTACAAGGTTCCTCCATCCGAGTGTGTGATTATTCCCAAAGAAGCAGACCGACTCAAATCTTTCGATCCTGTTACTTTCGGTGGAGGCCGGCGCCACCATGGGAAACGACACCACAGGAGTCGGGCAAGTCATGTGGAGGCCATTTCCATTTGAGAAATATGCAATGGTTGCATTGTCAAAAGATGGATGGGGAGGAGTTATTGTCGCCTTGATCTTTACTACATTTATGCTGTTATGATTTAGTTGGGGTCATTTCTTTTTTGTGAATAGAGGAAAAAGAGCATAGATTCTTATTGATGTTGGTGGCAGGGGGCGTTGTGGTTATATGGTTGATGGTGGTGGGTATGTGTATAGTTCATACCTTTAGTTTTTCTAGTTGTCCATTTCATCATTGATGTTGTCCCTTGGCTTTACAAAATGAATTTGGTGATGATTTTTCTGTACTCTTATGACGCCCTCACGGGTTAAATAAAGTATACTTAAGCATATGGATTTATTCTATGTATTGGGGTATGGGTTCTAGTTGTTTTTTTGCACGAAAATGAGTATGTCATAAAGCATCTTGCATGCTGTCTGATATTTTATTTTATTTGCTTTTATGTTATTCCAAGTTAAAAAACATCTGCTGATCAGCATACCTCGAATATGTTTTGAAGGTCCAGAATTTGGGCCCTTGTTCTGTCTTGTCTCTTCTATCTTTTAAAGGTCAGACTTCTCATCTTCGAGGAATTTTGTCAATGGTTTGTTGGAATCCAAAGTAGTTAGATGTGACAAGTGGTGAAGGCAGCGCTGCTGCAATTGCCAGAATGTTGGACTTTATGGAGCTCACAGGTTTGAAATCTAAGAAGCTGGTCTGAAAAGGTTGTCAGTTTAGAAAATGGACAGAGGTTTTCTTCTAAAATTCCTTGAATATTATTATGTCAATATGGAGTTAATTATATTTGTACACAATAATACATCTTACTCGGACATTTTTCAAGAACACATGAATCAGTTGTCAAAAATGAAGAAAAAGCAGTGTCAATTTAGAATTTAGATTTTTTTTTTTTGGGTGGGAGTACCATCAAAAGACCTCTATTTTCTTCCCAGTGTCAACTTTTGGCAAAAAGAGAAGTCGAAGGAAAGGTTGATTGAAAGAGATACAGCCAAAGCAAGCAAGACAAGCAGCATCAAGTATTTATTTGAGCCATTTTGGAGTGTTTTTCAATTCCAAACTTCAATGATAGGATCCCACTTGGCTTCTCAGTTAATTTTTCTGCAACTCCTTGATTGGATGCTTTAAAGCATGCAAAGGTTGTTAATACGTCATTCTAAGGATAATGTACCAAATTAATAAAGAGACAAAAATAAATTATAGGTGCACATCCTAAAAGAAAGGACAAGGTTGGCCAAATTGTTTGATTAGATTAGCAAACCAACTAGGTTGACGCTGGCTTTAATAGGACTAAATTAACCAAATAAGATGAGCTTTATCATGAAATTGATTTTTTTTTTTTTTTGGTAATTTTAGATGATTATTTTTTTTTAAAAAAAAAATTGGAATTGATGGTGCAAATCGTTTTTTCATTGATCTATGTTGATACAAAACTCGACTGCATAAGTGATGCATAAAAAAATTCCATCTTGGGTAGTTTTTATAAGGAAGTTCTGATGAACTTATGATAAAATCCACGAATATTATTCATTGTTGTTATAAACGGTTTTTTTATTTTTTTTCTTTTTAATATTACACCTAACAAGTAGAACCATTCTGATCTTAATTTTTAGTATTACTGTGGTATAAACAAAATGATGTGTTTGTTTGATTTATATTATTTACTAAATTTTTTATTTTTAACAAAAAAAAATTTTTTTTTGAAAAAACGTTACTACAATTTATTTGAAATTTCTTGTTGAGTAATATATTTTCTTACAGAAAATCAAGAAGGAAATAAGGTATAGAATACCAAATTTGATATCAAGATTATGAGACAATCAATCATTCATGGCCTACCGTGTTTCCTGACTTCGGGAAATCTCTTACCTAACTCACACAGCCAAACTCATTTCATTCTTAAGAATATTACTTGATCCATTAATATTTTTTAAGTCTTTTGTAAGACAGAATGACACCAAAACAGCTGCAAAATTACTACCTTTGTTGCCAATGGTATCATCGCTACAAACTAATGGTAATGGACTCAAGAAAGGCATCCCGTAAAAAGGGTTCGAAATACGAATTTGTGGGAAATTGTTTTTTAACAAAGAAGAAAGGATTGAAAGGCATCTTTAAGAAGCTTGTGCAATCTAACAGTCAAGGGCTTGATTTTTGACTATTAATATTATTTTTTATATATTAATAATATGATATTTTCGGATTAAATTTCGTAAAATAAGAAAAAATAATTCTTTTTTGACCGTATTTTGTGAGAGTGCCTTTATATAAAAAAAATTTAGAAAAAATATTTTAATATTCTTTTTACTATGCAGAAATTGATTCTGCATGGTAAATTTTTTTTTTCTAAAAAATATTTTCTACTAGATAATCATTGGGTGAGCGCACCCACACTTAACAATAAGCTAAGAAGCCAAAGGTTGATTTTTATTATTTTTATGTATAGAAAAGAAGACTATAACAATAAGTAACAAGGCTTTAGCCATTAGCTTTAAATTTGAATTGCAAAGAAAAGATCCATGGCCATAATGAAAAAGCTAGAGATTTTGTTTCTATTAAAAATCCTTTGATGCCTCTAACCACAAGGATTTTGATAGGCCAAAAGGTAATGAACGTCACAGCTGGAAAACGATAACCAGCTTCGCGAAGGAAAATCACAAGCATTCACCGCCTTTTCTTTTCCCAAAAAATCATGCCAAAAGGATCATGTTTGATTAAAAGTTGTTTTCTTGCTGATTTTGACCCTCCAATATTGCAAGGCTAGCCAATTCGGACATGGATCAATCATAAATAAAATCTTGAGTCAATTTACCCACAAAGTTCCTATCGCAGTTGCCAACTAATTTTTATAGCTAAATGATTTTGACCACATGAATTTCAGTCTCATCAAAAGCACCTTTTTCTATTCATCATAGAAATCGTGTGTGGTGCCTGTAGATAGTTAGAAATTAAACTATCCCTTTCCTAGGCTAGGCTAGGCCAGGAAATTAGCTTATGGATTGCTTCTGCTATTGAAGTTAGGTTCAAAGAAATGGTGCTTTTATGATCGCAGCATTTTGTTTTTTTTACTAACTTCTGTTGTCCGATATTTTGCTGTAAACTTCGACTCAGAAAATGGGTTCTCACCCCTTCGGGTACTGTCTGTTGCCAGCTGTTCATGCCAACGCTGCTGAACAGATTTAGAAAAAGTAATTTTTACAGCTCATCCTTTAAAAATCAAATTTTATTCATGAGCTTAAAATAGAAAAAAAAACAAAAAAACACTTCGTTTAATTTTCAGAAAGTACTGCTAATTAAAGAAAAAAAGAAATCATATTCAACACTGCTCCGCTCCTGTTTGTATTGTGTTTCAATCGCGGTGCCTTAGGCAGTGTTTTTTTTAAAGTTGATTTCTTTCATAAAGGGTCAGAAGCTTAGAAAGGCTCCAAGAAAATAATATATATATATTTTTTTTAATGAATATATGGGCGTGAATGATCTGTTTTTTTTTTAAAAAAAAAAAAAAAAAACCTTAATTTTGGCAATTAAAACTGGTCTGACGATAATCTCATCTCAGTTCTAAAGGAAAAACCATGTCTGGAATAGGTCTTCCTAGGCCGCTTCGTTATTCACCAATGGGCCTTGTCATTTTTCTAAAGAGGCCTTTGTATATTGTTTCGAATCAATGGGCTTGGCCACTTTGCATATTGAAAGGTTTTAACTAGTGGAACCAAATTAATTCATAATCCAAATCCAGAGCAAATTAATTAGGTTACGGTTGTTATTATTATTTTTAAATATACTTATATTGGATTTTGGAACTACAACCGCATACATAGAATTAAAAAAAAAAGTCTGTTGGAGGAAATTAATTAAGAGAAACTGCGAATTAATTAAAAAAGAAAATAGGCGAAATCAAAGTGGTCTAGTACTGTAGTTGGAAACTAGGTCGTACTTTTGGGCTGCTTAACTTGCCAACTTCTAACCTACCCTATCTTATCAGTTATCACCTCATTTGCATGTTAAAAAAGAAAAAAATTAATATTTATAATAAATTAATAGGTCTTCAGGATCACAAGCAAAGAATTGCTTACCTTCTCCATATTTTCTGAGTAATAATATTCTATGCTAACCTAGTTACCTAATTCCCAGAAATTATTAACTTGTGGGAAAGCCATGTTCATTACCTATATAAGTTGCCTGCAATTATATGTATCTGAATCGAACAAATCTTTTGAGAAAATAAACTGATCGATGGATGAAATAAAAGGGAAAGTTTGTGTCACGGGAGCTGCTGGCTTTCTAGCTTCTTGGCTTATCAAGAGACTCCTTTTATCAGGATATCACGTCACTGGAACAGTTAGAGATCCAGGTTGGTTATATATATCTTGATAAAATCTGTGACTCTCCCTAGTGATCTTAATTCTCTTAAATTAATTTGCAATAAAGAAGCAGCAACGACTAATAATTTTACATGCAATGAGCTTGTAGCGAAAATGTCATCTGTGCCTCGTTTTCTTAGGAGGTCTAGGTTCGAGCCTCTTTTGAAAAAAAAAAAAAAAAATTCTTCAATAACTTTGACATGCATACGCAGGTAATGAGAAGAAACTAGCGCATCTCTGGAGACTGGAAGGAGCAAAGGAGAGACTTCGGTTGGTGAAGGCTGATCTGATGGAAGAGGGCAGCTTCGATGATGCGATCATGGAATGCCATGGCGTCTTCCACACTGCTTCCCCTGTTCTCACCCCTTCATCTGATCCAAAGGCATGCACGCCTGCTTGTTGCTTATATTTAATTATATTCCTGCCCTAAGCCTTAGCTCCTTCCCGGGAGTTACTAATTACCGTACCAATTTTTAATTAATAATCTCTACACTTAAGTCAGTTCATACTACTCTCACATTTCTTTCTACAAAACATGTACTGCTACAGGCAGAAATCTTGGAGCCAGCTATAGAGGGCACGTTAAACGTTCTCCGTTCCTGCAAGAGGAATCCATCTCTAAAACGTGTGATTCTCACCTCATCCTCTTCGACTGTGCGAGCAAGAGATGATTTCGACCCCAACATACCTCTTGATGAGTCAAGTTGGAGCTCTGTGGAACTCTGTGAGAGACTGCAGGTGGTTTTTTTTTTTTCGTACTTTTAAAATTTCTTGTAATATAATGTAACGTAAGAAGAGAGGGAAAAAAAAAACGGAAACCATGATAATTTACATATGTTCAAACCCAGAATTAACTTATATTGACATTTTTTTCTACCTCATCTTCTTAATTATGCATGGACATGGCAAATTATCCTTCTCCACGAAAAGATATGGTATGCTCTATCGAAAACTCTAGCTGAGAAGGCAGCATGGGAATTCTGCAACGAGAATGGCATTGATTTGATAACTGTTCTGCCATCATTTGTAATTGGACCTAGTTTGCCCTCTGATTTATGCTCTACTGCTTCCGATGTTCTTGGCTTGCTTACAGGTATTTTATAATTTCCCTAAATATTCCAATATATATATATATATATCAATGGTTTATTGGGTTGATCTCAATTATATTTGCGGCTCATCGATCGCATTGACATAATTTCTTTCATGACTACCGCTTTAAGTTATTCCTACCTTGGTTTGGTTTTGAAACAATATTTAACAGGAGAAGTGGAGAAATTTCAATGGCATGGAAGAATGGGTTATGTTCACATTGATGATGTTGCACTGTGCCACATCCTCGTTTATGAGCATGAAAGTGCTGGTGGGCGATATCTTTGTAGCTCAACCGTGCTGGACAACAATGAATTAGCATCCTTTTTAGCGCAGCGTTATCCTTCGCTACCTATCCCAAAGAGGTTGGCATTTATGCCTTAATGTTTACAAGATATGTTATGGAATATTCATTACAAGAAGTTGTTGCTAATCCCTAATGTTGTTGATGTAGTTCTTGTTCTTTTATTGACAAATTTATCAGGTTTGAGCAAGGAAGGAGACTGTACTACGAATTTGACACTTCAAAGCTGAAGAGATTAGGGTTCAAGTTCAAATCAATCCAAGAAATGTTTGATGATTACGTTGCTTCACTTGTGGAACAAGGCCATCTCTCTTCATTCGGTTTGGCCATAAATTAATTAAGACATGCTCATGACTTAATTCTACCATGCACAGAGAGCTGCTAGCTAGCTAGAATGTGTATTGAACTTTCATTTTTATTATGCTGTATACCTAACTAAGAAGGGCAGTTAACATAACAGAGCTGTGATCTGATTTATATGAAAGCCAAATCAAGTTTACATTTTGAAGAAATGGGGGACACCACGCCCTGGTGCATGTTATATATATATATATGTTTTTTATTGAAAAGAATTAATGTTATCAATATTTACTTTATGTGATTCCAAAATAATGATAAAAGCATGTCAACGATCTCCTTGCCTTTTTTTTTTTTTTTTTTTGTGATAGTGTACAATTGTGAGGATTCTTTTCATTCCTTTTCACAAATATATGATCATTTTTTACAAAAAATAAAAATAAGAAAAATCAAAATTCCTTGTTCATTGTACTTTGGACGAAAAAAATGTTTTTGAGAAATTGCTGTGATTGATTGAAAAAAATTACGTATATAGTTGTAAAGTTTTCTGTTCATGAGGAATGCTACAGCAGAAAAACTAGCAGCTGTCATCAGTGATTTTGAAGTTTGGAATTTCAGATGGCAAATCACACAATAAGAGCATTACATACGTTAAAGTTAGAGATGAGACTTGAGGGAGAGGATAGCAAACAAGAGTAGAGAGTTTTTTTCCTATATATATATGGGAATTGACTGCTCCGTTCATCAGTTTCTTTTCTTTTACGTGCGAGCATCATTGATCCTAGCCATCGGTCAAGAATTGCGGTCGATCAGATTCAATAACAAGTCTCTGGAAATGATCTCCATCCAAAACTAAACAGTGCAAAACTCCACGAAAAGGGGGCAAGCCAGAATGAATCCCTCTCATGCGTGTGTGAGAGAGAAATAATTTCAGTTTTGCAGGTTATTTTTCCCAATAAACAGGTGACCCCTTATGCTGATTTGATTTGATTCATTCATCCAACAACCCATTTGCTATTTGCTTCAACATAGAAAAAATGTGCTTAAAACACACATCAAGTACAGGAACAGAAGCACCAGATCTAAAGCTACACAGTAAGAAGAAACAGAACTACCAGCCCAAATGCTCCACTGCTTTTTCTCTTCTTCCTTCATTCAGTGTATATTTCGAGTCTTGACATGCTTCTAGTTCTCAGATACAGCCTCTTTTATCTCTATCATTTTGATGAAATTGCGAACAATTGTCTTGCCTTCAGATGTTATGATGCTTTCTGGATGGAACTGCACCCCCTGCAAAAAATTCAACCATTTCGATATTATCTTATAAACATACATCTAACTACATGCAAGAGCATTTAAATGAAAGTCAATTAAGTAAAGAACTTATCAAGTCCAAGGACACACACATTCTTGAAATAGTCCATCGTATATTTCTTTTTTTGGAACCTCATCAGGTTTGTTCTACGGGGATTTTGGCATATTTATACAACACTCTGTAAGGGGCACCTCTGTATTTTTACCATATCTTGTTTTCTAACTACCAAGGTAGACACTTAGTCTGTAGGATCCCAGCAACAGCGATTTCAGGATACTCATGACATAATAGACAATGCGCTGATCAAGAATACAACATTCATAAATCACATAAGCAATTAGAACAAGTTGAAGAAGAAACATCACAAACAGGTTGCAAAAGGATCTATGAAGACTGACCACGTGAAGGTTTCTGGGCAATTCTATGAGTGATTATATTCATATGGTTTGACAGACTGAACATTGACACAAGTCATTTCTAAAATAACAGTATTCAACCAGTAAATGAATTCTAGACTAGACCTTTTTATTCTAACCATCTCTTTTAAAATTATGCATTTTACTTTCACTTTCTATTTGAGTCGGCTCATTCACTGAATCAAATTGAATCAAATCGTAACTGATCATAAGATTCATGAGCAACTAAGATTCACCCCATGATTTGTATAATTTTATATTCGAACCATGATTCATAAGATTCTAACAACCATGATTAATTATATGCATTCCATTTTCTTATGCAAATGAAGCCGCAAGTCTATATGGAACTTTCAAGTGAAGAAGACAGATTGCAAACAAAAGCAAACCTGGATGCCTCATCCACTAGCTCAGGCCTGTCAAGTAATTGTATGAAAGGGCAATTTCCTAATAGGTGGATAACAAATGAATATCTTACCTGCAGATGCTTATACTTTCTATGGCGAGCAGCCATTATCAGACCATCCTCAGTCCATGCTGTAACCTCTAGTTCTTCATCAGGGAAACTTTCTTTTTCAATCACAAGGCTATGGTATCTTCCAGCAGTGAAAGGACTGCAAAAGGTGTAAAGATATTGAGACAAACCATTACCATCTATGGATACGATCAAGATGAAATTTAATACAAAGAAACTGACGACAAATCATGGCAAGTATATTAATAGAATTTAATGCTTTCCTAATTGGTTTTCCCTCAGAATTGTCTATAGTGAAAAAAAAAAAAAAGCTATTCACAAGGAAATTCTGGTAGAACATAGTATTTTAGCAAGCTAACTAGTTCCCAGTTACCATTTTCAACAAATATAGAAAGCTGATGAAAAATACTAATCCAATAAATTTATCAGAAAACTCACAGCTAATCTTAATGATAAAAAATGACCATTGACACGCAAAGACCAAGGAAAATTTGGAAAAAGAAATTGTGTAAACAGAATGGTCAGGTTTAAGAGAATCATATCTCACAACAAGCATGACCCTCTAGCAATGTCATAGTTGATCAACAGGATAAAATAAATAGCTTCATTTATTTGTTGTCATAAGAGCAGGATTTCACTCAACCAACTGCTTAACAAGGACCATGCATCTTTGACCATAGTAAAAAAAATTATCACCTTCCCTATAAATGACTAGCCCTAAAGATGTCCAAACCTAGTTCAACATGTTTGAGGTAAGGAAAAGACAAAGCTTGACTAATGTTGTCAGAAACACATATAAGCAAGAATCAAGATGAATGTCAGCATGAAAGCCATTTTATCGACAGCCGAAACATTCCCCTCCTTATTGCCTTGCTATTTTATTTGCAAATAAGAGGTAAATTTACATCATATGTAAATATAAATCCATACTAAATTTTGGTTGTGGCAACTCATGAGGACAAATCCATGTCACGTGGTCATGGCCTTTCACCTATTTTCTACGGTTCCACTTTCCTGTGACTTCAATTGTTTTATTGCTGTTCTAAGCGTGAGTAATGTCTAAAGATCACCCAGTAAAATGTTCCATCCATGGTTATATGCTGAAGTTCAAAGAAACCCAACTAATTTCTGTCATTTTGAAAAAATCTTTTTGTTTTTTTTTTTTGCTTATTTGTATTTTATAGACCACGGGAATTTAATGAACATGTGAGTACAATTTATAACTGTTATAATTTGCAACTTCTCATTTACTTTTGAAGAACTGTTATAATTTGCAAATTCTAATTTACTTTTGAAGTACATATCAATTCTCAATTTACAGTACACAAAACAAGGCTGTAATTTGAATGATAGATGACTAAGTAAAGGAATTCTTTCAAATTTATTTTAGGAATTTAATGATTGCATATAACTAGCCAGAGAAAAACAGCAACAAAAAAGGGAAAAAATAAAAAATAAAAACACAGAGAGAGAAGATATTAGTGACAGATCAATTATCAAAAGTTCCTTACTTTGACAACCCAGAGAACAAGCCATCTTCCCCCTTCTCATCATAATATACAGGAGAACCTTTCCCATGCACGACACCATAAGGTGAGCGCACAATCTTTCCTGAAGGCAACAATGTACGATGTATTATGTACAGAAAACACAATCAGAAAACTGCTGCATGTTAAAAATAAAATATCTTGAATATTGTTCAAGTTCCTTGATGATTCTAGTAAAAGGAAATATCGGACAACTAGATAAAAACATACAGATGGAAAAAAAGATTTGGATTATCACCTCCAAAAGCCTCTCCAATGCACTGCAACCCCATACACACACCAAACAAAGGCACAGTAGGTCCAAGCTCTAAAACTGTCTGCAGTGATATTCCAGAATCTTGGGGCGCTCCTATAAAAGGGAATGATATGCATAAATATATTTTCATCTTTTTTTGTTCTGGTCTTGCTGCACTTTGATCCTGCATAGTAAAGATAACGCATTAGCAAAAACTAACCTGGGCCCGGGGATATGAGCACGCCTCTCGGCCTTTTCCTGTTAAATTAAGAAAACAGGTAACATGTGCGATCAGCAAACACAACAAATACCTCATGTATGATCCCCTCCTATACATAGGGTTTAACACCTAGAACTTATCATACTGCATGCATTGATTAACAAATGCCAGATAACTGCATAACAATAAATTTTCACCTTTTCAAATCCTCCACAGTTAATTCATCATTCCGATACACCTCAAAATGGCAGCCCATCTCTCCCATATACTTCAAAAGCACAAGGTAACAGAGTTATAGATTTTGATTTATAAGTAACAAATTGAAGAGAGGGAGACAGAGCGATATCAAGCAGTATACAAAAATAAATCATGCAAAGCGATATACACCATAACTTTTGCAGAAGTAAAGATTTTAAAAAGTTTCTAATTGTCTTTCACAGCTATAATTTTGATCAAAACTTATTAAGGTTTCCTTTGACATGTCACAGAAGATAATATAATTCTGTGTAACATATGTGTTGCTAGCTATGTCCAATTTGAAGTGAATCGCTGGTGTTATTCACAATTGTTGACAATAGTTTGGTCATTTGAAGAAAATGTTCAAATTAAAGAGTTTCCTTCTATGATTAGCAATGTCTTGAACTTTTTGCCACATCATTTAAGAAAAAGTACACCCTGCAGTCAAATGCAGTCATTTCTGTTAAAAAAATAAGGAATGAATTGCATGTGTAGTTTTGGTCTCTATAAATGAACCATAACGCATACACACACAATTAGAATGTCATGCCTCTATGGAAACAAAACCTGTAATTTATTTTCCATTTACATTATGCACTTTCTCAACAAACAAACAGGCGGTAGAATTCAAGAAGTCACACCATCACAAAATCTTTAAAACATAAACGAACCCAGAAAACAGATTATCATTGAAACAATGAAGAAGCGTCGAAATTATAGAATACCATATGAAAGAAGAGAGAGAACTAACCTGACACAGATTATAAGTGAAACTGTCATAATTGTCAATGACAATTATGGGATTCTTGATTCCCTTGTCACTAGAAACAGCAGCCCTGGAATTCAATTCTGCAGCTGCCATCGAACATCTTACTACTAGCCCTTTTTCGCTCTTTGCCCCAAAACTCACTCCTACAACATCAACAAAAAAAAAAAAAAAAAAAGAATTGTAAACCTACATGTAAATTTTATGTACATAGAAACGAGAAATTAAGAGAGACAAGAGTACAGAAAGTTACTTGATGTTGTAGAGAGGAGATTTAAAGGAGAGGCTTGCTTGGTTTTGACAGCAAGAGAAGGCTTTGATCGATTGAAAGCTGATTGAGATACCATACTTGCAGCAGCCATTGTCAGTGGAGAGACACGGACAGGGAGAGATGCGTTAGAATCTCAGCTGCTGCCCATAAATATTAAAATAGGCTCGACCTTATTCGTCAAGCTAATAAAACAAAGACACGTCAGCGTGTTGTCGTCAAACAACCACTTCAAAACACTAATTAAAAAACAAAAAACAAGAAAAAAAAATGTATACAAACGAACTTTAGGCGTTAAATTCAGGATTCTTGAATAATGATTGATAATTGTGACATATTTTCGTTTGAAAATTTTCATATAACATTGCTCTTTTTTCCCCCCCAAAAAAAACTTTAAACACAGCCTAGCCCTTAAAAAATAAAAAAATAAAGGTGGTGTTTCTAAACTGCTGAAGCAAAACCTCAAACAGTTGATAGGAGTGATGGATGGACAGATGCAATAGAAAGAGAGGAGAGAATCAAGAATCGCATACCAATATATAGCTTTCGCAAAATCAAATACTTAGAGAGAAGATGTGCGACAGCAAGAAGGAGCGAGAAACGCTAAGGTCTGTTTCAGTCGAGTCAGGATGGAGCCGATTTAATTTATTAGTCATTTTTAAAAAAGAGAAGCAAAGTGAATAAACATAAGACAGAGCCAAAAAAACACTTACTCTCTCTCGGCCGCTTTTTCTGTTAGGGAGGCAGCAATTGCTTTGTTTAAGCTGCTGCAGTATGCGGAGGTTCTTCTTATAATGATCATAGATTTTAAAAAAAGGGCGGAGATACAGATTCATCGTACCGTAGGTAGCAAATATAGAAACACTAAATTCAGTCCAGCCCCCCCGTTCTATCTAATCTATTCTGCATGCAGTGATGATGGTTGGACTGTTAAGTTTTTTTTTTATTTTGGTCCTTTCTATCTGAACAACGAATCTAATACTGAAATAGATGGTGATTCATGAATCATGGTAGGTGAACTATATATTTTTGTGGTTATGGATTCTTCAATGTACCATTTCGATCTCCTAAGTTTTAAATTTCCCAATTTCACCTTATTGTTTTTAGAAACTTCCAATTTTTATCTTTGATTGCTAAATCACTAACAGAAAGTTGGTTTTTTTATTTCTTTCTTATTTTCTTTCTATACTTTCGTTTTTTCTCTCAAAATCCTTGTATATGTTAGGGTATCTTACAAAAAAGTTTAAAACTCTAATCAAACTAAAAAAAAAAGGTAGATTATTTATTGATTACGAATAATATTGTAAATATTTGAAAATTAAGAAAAATAATATTTATAAATTTTATACTATTTGGGTAGAATTAGAACCTTCACGAATCTATTAAGATGAAAATGAAGTTTACCCATATATTTTTATTCCAAGTAGCGGTAATTGTTCATCCTTATAGTTTAATAATACCATTATTTAAGTTTTTTTGGTTCCGAGAATAATTAAAAAGTTTGTTAGAGTTTCCCATCCACCATTGCCAATGGGCAATAACAACAACTGCATACCTATAGCCTTTGATACACTCACAACCTTGGTCTCGATTTGATTGACAAAAAGACTAAATTATAAAAGTATAACAGATTTATATTTATTGAATAAATAGTTTTTGAAGTTACAAGGATTGATCAATTGACTTTGTCAAACTACAAGAACTAACTTATGATTAACTCTCCCGCCAGATGCAAAACGTATCCTCTCTCTATATTTCTGTACGCGAATCACGTGTTTTTAGTTTTCAGATGCCAGTCGCCAGAGTCCTTTTTTCTGGTCCTAGAAGTAAATACCTCATGTTGAGTAAATTATAAATTAGTCCCTTTAGTTTTTAGAAACAATAAATTAGTTCTTTTTTTAAAAAAACTAACCATTTAATTTTTTATATTTTATTCATGTCAATAGCTCAGTTTTTTTTTCATCACTTTTTCAGTAAATTAATGATGACTTGTCCTATTGCGATATTTTTTACTTTCAAATATTTTTTTTATGCTTTATTTCTCTAGTTACTTATTCTCTCTCTCTCTCTCTCTTCGACAATCATAATGACTTCTCTCTCAATTTTTTCAATCATTTCAATTATTGGAATGATGCTTCTCTCTTCTCAACTACCATTTGATTGAATAAATTAAAAAAAAATCACTATGATGTTTGAAGAGAGAGGAAAAAATAGATGAAAAAGAGAAATAAAGTATCAAAGAAGAGCAATTTGTGAACTGCATTAAGATATCTAATCACCGATATAATAAAGGATCGATGAAAAAAAATTAAATTATTAATAGAATTAAAATATAAAAGATTAAATGATTAGTTTTTAAACTAAAAAAACTAATTAGTTTATTTCTCTAAATAAGAGGGACCGATTTAGAATTTACTCCACTCATATTGGTATTATATATATATATATATATATATATATATATATATGAAATTTTAGATTTCTATCAATTGAGACTAAGGTGGTGTTTGATAAAACTCAAAATTAAGTACTCGAATGCATTAAGTACTCGAATATGTTGTCGACAAGCTATTTGATACTTACTCAAAATTAAATATTGAATATAATAAGGTTGTTTGATAAATATCGTTGCTTGGACATATTAAAACTATATACACGATAATTTTAACCTTGCAATTATAACATGATATTTTTTTAATACAAATAAAAATATATGCATAGATGTATTTATGTGTATAAATAAATAAATTTAATAAAAATAATTATTAATAAAAAATTAAACACAATATAAGATAGCATTAATTGTCATATCATGTACAAAATAGATGAAATCTCAAGTACTAATCAATTCATTTGCAATTTGATCTCGAAAATTAATCATAAATGTTTAATCGACTCGTGCTTGTGCCTCTCATCCGATAAATGGTAAATTTACGGTAATATTTGGTGTTTGATGCATCACAAAATCACTATCAAATTGTTCAAAAAAATTATCAATAACAATTATTCTTTAAAAATAATTATGTATTATAACATATACAACAACAATATCTCTCCGAACCGTAATTGGATATGGGGTTATTGATAATTATGTATTATAATACATGTAATAATAATATTTATCTAAACTGCAAATGGATATAGTGGTTATTGCCTTTAGAATTGAAAACCTTGCTTTTAGAATACTAAAAGCTCGTTTAATAACATTCCTTAATTCTTCACTTCAATAGTTCGATCTTAGATCAAACCCCGCACTTATTAGTCCAATCCCACCTCAATTGTCCTTCCTAAAGTCCTTACGGATACTTACATTGTCACAAAATCACCTTACTCGGACGTATTCTTGTCGTGATTTTTAGCTTGACCTCGTTAGTCCACCTTGATTTGAGCTACGAGATGCTTATCGGGTCCTATATCAATTTACTTGGGCAATCTTAGAAGCCTTTAAGGCCTTGATTTCAGCTATAACTCACTTACTCGGACGGATTCCTCGCACTATTGGGCAATTGGGTATGCTTCAAAAACTTGATTTGAGTTCAAATTCATTTATTGGTAGCATTCCTTACAAGCATAGAAAAGCTCACTTTATTAACTTTCATGGCTTTGAGTAACAATAAATTGAGGGAAAATATTCCAATAGGAATTCTAAACCTACAAAGCTTGAAATACTTCATTATGGATGATAATCCAATGTATATATCTTTGCCATTAGAATTTGGTAAGTTCGGTGAAACTACAAGAGTTGAGGCTTGCCAACTCATTTTACTCGAGCACTTAGACCACCAAGCTTTTCACTCGCTTGTCAATTTAAGCACGTTGTCTCTACAAAACAATAAGCTAACGGGTAAAATCCCGAAGGATTCGACAGTCTCCTCCGGAAAACCTTTCTTTTATTAGGTTGGTATTTGATCACATCTAACTTGTAGTTGATTTTAAAAATTAGACTTTTTGATCCAATTAGCAACTTATGTTCACTACTATACAATATGATATGAGTTTTTCAAAAGCGAGAATCTAATCTTTTATTTGACAAGTCACATATATTTTTTCTCGTCACCTCAACTTCAACCTTTAGGCATAACTCATGTTTTATTAATTTGGCAAATAAATATTTTTGAAACAAGTTTGTAAAAGTTTTCAAAAATATTAAAGAAATAAAAAATTCAAAATCTCAAAATAAATTTCTAAAACTTTCAAAAATTATTGGTTACATATTTATATGATATATAATTTAATTTCTCTTGGACAAATTAAGATTTTTTTAAAAACATGAAGAATTTTAAATTTTTTTGAAAATTTTCAACCAATAGTTGTTTATGAAATTTCTTGAGAAAAAAATTATAAAATGGATAAAAATTATATTTATTGAAAAGTTTGGAAAAATTATTTAGCAAGGTTCGCCCATTAAATTTTATGAAATATTTAAGCGGCTAGATAAATTATTTTTTAATAAAAAATCAAATTTTTTTGAAATGTTAGTAAATAAATAAAGTTCTAAATTTCTTGACCACTAAAATTTTAGAAAATATTTAATACATAATTTTAAAAAAAAATGAAAAATTTTAAGATATATATATATATATATATTAAAAATGCTTAGAAATAATTTTTGTTCTAAGAACTCATAATTTTCCCAAAACTGCAATCCTACCAAATTCGGAGATACAATTACTATTAGGACTTGGTTATGTTTAGGACTGCGTTACAAAGAGTTTGAGTAAGATTAATGTTTGTATTGGATAAACATTAGTAGATTACGTGTCTTAGTTTATTTCCTTTATGTTATCCGATGTAAGGCTATAAAAAGTTATGCTTCTATTTATGCTAATTGATACATAGACTCTTATAAGCTCTTTGTGTTTTTCTCTTGAATATAACAATCGGTATCATAGCCTATTGAAGAAATATGTCATAAAAAAGCTCCTTTGTTCAACTTGCATTCCCAAAGTTTGATGGGCATTATGATCATTGGGCTATGTTCATGGAGAACTTTTACGGTCAAAAGAGTACTCGAAGCTTGGTAAAGAATGGAATCTCCGAAGTAGTAGAGAATGACACTCCTACATGTACACATAAGGGAAGCATTGAAGAAAA